TATTGTATATGAAATACTGTAAGTCGTTTTAATTCCACGGTGTTGAAATTTCACGATTTTTCCAAAAGTACTAAAAGGGATGGTTTTAATTTCACGCTGTTAGAAAATTTCTTACGATCATTTAAAAATTTTAAATAGCTATTTATAGCATTCACGATGGGTTTATTTTCGCGGAAAAATGATGAATCGCGAACATAGCGAAATTTAAACCATCGTGATTATTTGCCAATCTACAGAATGCAATATATGTACATAATTTAACAAACAATTACAATATGTTTTGATAAACATTCCATAGATCCTAGTTGTAGTAGATTGATTAATTGTATATTATTAAACGCCGAGTCGGCAATTTTTCAGCCATGTTTCGGCGGTAGTAGTAGTAGAAGCTGAGTAAAAGCAAGAAGTAGAAGTAGAGATCCATTGTTATATACAGTAGAAAGGATCAGATGAGGCTTTCCACAATACCCTTACAATGCGCTGCATGTGAGTCCGGGACGGAAGTGCCACCATTACAGGCCACGGCGCCATCCTGCACTAAGGAACCACTCAAGAGTCAAATAGCATAGACATTTTATTTGATTTCTTATTATAACAATGGAAATGTAGAAAAATTATTTATGTAAAAATCGTAATAAATATTGTACAGTTGACCTTCAGATATCCGGATGCTTCAGTATCCGGATGATTTTTCATCGGGACAGAATTTTTTTAATGTCATTGTATCTTGTTTACATGGTAATTCAGGTATTCAGATGTTTCACGTATCCGGACAAATTGACTAGGAACCAAAGTGTCCGGATGAATGAAGCTCCACTGTGAATATATTCTAAAAATATGTCTCTTATGTCTGACAAAAGATCTGTGACAGAGGTGAATACAAAGGAATCATTGTTCAAAATTAACATTAACAATATAATATTTTGTACACATGCACGGCAGTAATGCAAATCAGAAATGAAGTAGATAAATCTTTCAGTTTGTGCAAATATATGGAACGCAGATCTAGTCATAATACTGTTCTGTTTAAATGAATGTTTTGATTAAGTAAACTCCATGTTAAATTAGAACAGGTTTAGGAAATTGTTCCACATACATGTCTTTTTTGATTTACATATGTTGTGATGTTAAATACATACAAATATGTCCTGGTTAATCAGTAAGTTCGGGTCAGTTAGACAAGGGATGGTCACTTTGAATATACATATGCATGTTAAACAGGTATTTGTTAGCTGCTCAAGATAACTCTAAATGAAAGTTGTGTTTAGTAAAATAGATATTATTGTACAATTCATTGTGAAATTGTGTTCAAAGAGGATATTCGTGCATTGTACATATCACTAAATGTGTTCTTGTTTTATGTTGATTGTTCCTTTACCACCTTTACAGGAAACGGATTCTGAATTGTCGTCTTGCAATACTCGGTCACATTTATTTCAACAGGAAATGGTAATGGATCTGACGTAATGTTTTTTATAAATTGTTTTTCTTTCATTTGTCTTAATCTGGGTATTGACTAAATCAGATTCCTATTTTCTACAAACAGTGAAAGTCTAAAGTATAAGTGTATTAAACAATAGTCAGCATTTGAATAAGGCTTTAATAAAATATGTATATATAATCAACTGAAAGGGTACTTTAATGCGGCATAATACAAATATGACCTTGCTTTTTGGAGCACCTTTAATGACAATTACTTTGCAAGTAAAGTTTTGTAAAGGTGTTTTTTTTCAAGCAGTGACATAAATGGTTTACTGATTAACAACGTAAAACTCCTCAAACATTAATTTATAAGGAATATCGTGTGAAGATAAATTTTACTCTGCTATTAAATCTTTCGACATGTTTAATGTTTATCTCCGAATCTTTTAAAAAGATTGGATTTGTTTTACTCAATGTTTGGGAATAGATATCATGGTGGCATATTTCTGTCCCCTTCATGCAAGATAAATTATGTTAACATGCAACATAATTATGTAGACATGCAACATATTAATGTCAACATGCAATTTAATTATGTTGACATGCAAGTTACCAATCTTACAAGAAAATAAAATTTAAATATGGATAAATTTACTTACTAACGCCTGTATCTGTCATTTTAGATGCAATATGCAAGATAATTTTGTCAACATGCGACTTATTAATATTATAATTTATATTAAATTATAAACATGCAAGATAAGTATGTCAACATGCAATTTCCAATGTCAAAATGCAAGATGATTATGTTAAAATGCCACTGATTTATGTCAACATGCAAGCCTAGATGCTGTCATGAGACAGTAATTCCCGCACTAAGGTGTTTGCTCTAAATACACACTCCTTCATATTGGGCTTTCCAAGGAGAGAGTAAAAATGATTCTATAATTATTACCGTACATATTTGTCAAATTAAGCATAAAATTTTCAGCTAACCCTAACCCTAACCTTGGTAATAACTTTTGAACAGGTGAGGAAGTACTAGGGATTTCTCTCTTATTTCACATGTGTATTCCTTGTGACAAGACTTTCCCTTTGATACCAACAATTTTGACCCTTTGTCCTTGACATTGGAGTTTGACTTACATTTGAGAAACTTCAACCTATTCCAAAAGGTGCCATAACAGTTGCTGTTACAACAAACAAACAAATTACTAAAAGAACACAGTATATATGTACATAAGGATATGGAAATAACGAACAGTATTCAATCTCAACGTCCATTAAACAAATATACAAAACAAGAGCAGAGCAAACACGGACCTCCGAAACATCAGAGGTGGGATCAGGTGCCATGGAGGAGTGAGCATCCCCTGCTGACCGGTCACACCCGCCGTGTACTCATTGTCATAATCAGGAAATAACGGAAAAAATCCGTAGTCAATTCAGTGTATAAATAATGGACTAACAATTGGTATGAAAAACGTCAGTCAGCATTTCATTCAATGATAAATTGTATTTGCTGACAAGGTCATTGTATCGACCATAGAATTTACGAAATGATGACTTTAAACGAGACTGTTGATATTCTTGTTTCATCAACTTGCTTGTCAATAATTTACCTCGTTTAAGAAATTGTTCATATATAGAGCATGCTCTTGCGTATCGAATCAACTGAGATATAAATACTCCGTATGCAGGTGATGAAGGTATATTGCTGCATAAGTAAGGGAAGTTGACGATAGAAAAGTTAAAGTCATCACGTTTATCATATAGCTTGGTTGTTAGATTACCATTTGTGTCTTTTTCAAGTAAAATATCCAAGTATGAAGCAGATGTGTTGGACATATTTTATATTCAACAGATATACTTCTGGTCATATCTGTAGTTCTCCCTTGAATAAACATGGTGATATTAATATTTTTAAAATAAAGGTTGAAAAGGTTGTGCACACTAAAATTGACTAAGCTCTGTGAATGAATTAGATATACTAGTTTAGCATTATTTTGCTACCCAAAGCACTTTGATTAGGTATTTACAAACATCAGTTTTCTGAGATTTCCTGTGACCCCCATTTGATCCCCCGGGGCAAAATCAAAATTCCGAAACCTTACTGCACATCTACGTGACACCACCAACCATATTCCAGAAGATGATTAGGTTCCTGAATAAAATGTAAGAGGAGTTCAGGGAAGAAGGGGCTTTTTGCATAAAAAATGTCATTTTTTGACACCCATTTGATCCCCCGGGGGAAAATAAAAATTCCGAAACCTTTATGCACATCTACATGACACCAACAACAATCTCCCAAAAGATGATTGGGTTGCTGAATAAAATATAGGAGGAGTTCAGGGAAGACGGGGCTTTTTTGAAGAAAAAAAACGTCATTTTTCGACACCCATTTGACCCCCGGGGCAAAATCAAAATTCTGACAACTTACTGCACATTTAAATGACCCCACCAACCATCTCCCAAAAGACAATTAGACTGCTGAGTAAAATGTAAGAAGAGTTCAGGGAAGAAGGGGCTTTTTGCATAAAAAAAACATCATTTTTCGACCACCATTTGACCCCCGGGACAAAATCAAAATTCCGAAACCTTACTGCACATCTACATGACACCACCAACCATCTCGCAAAAGGTGATTAAGCTACAATGTAAAATGTAGGAGGAGTTCAGGGAAGAAGAGTGTGACAGACAGAGGGAAGGACGGACGGACATGAGTAACAACAATATACCCACTCTTTCTTTAGAAAGTGCGGGTATAATACTGTAGATCACTAAATATTCGCGAGATAGTCATTGACTCTTGATTAGCGAGACATTTTTGCGAATTGTAATTATTCCTCAATATATAATCTTAAGGAATACTCTTATACGCGAGAATTAAATTTTCGCGAGCACACTGTCTCGCATTATTACGCGAAAATAAAGTTCTCGCGAATATAAAGTGATTTACAGTAATTATGTTATATGTAACATGCGAGATATATAAGTTTATATGCAAGTTATTATCTAGCATAATGACATAAATAAGTTGCATGTGAACATAAAAACCCCGCATGTCTACATAATATCTCGCATGTTAATATACGTATCTTACAGGTTAGCGTAAGTATATTCCATGTTGACATAAATAAGTTGCATGTCAACATTTTTAAATCGCATGTTGAAATAAATATCTTGCATGTGTACATAATTAACTCGTATGTTGAAATACATATCTTGCATGTCAACATAATTGTCTTGCATGTGTACATAAGTACATCGCATTTTCTCATAATTATGTTGCATCTTGCATCTACGATGTCAGATAAGGGCATCAGCACGGGATTTTACCCATATTTAAATCAGATTCCATTAAAAGATCTGTAACTTGCATGTCAACATAATAATCTTGCATGTTGACATAATTTTTCTTGCATGTTGACTTAATTTATCTTACATGTAGGGGTCAGAAATATGCCACCATAAGATATAACTGATAAAAAATTGAAAAGTCAAAGACTTATTTTAGTCTGTATCTTTTACACTATTGTGTACATTAGGAAAGAATACAAATATTTAACGTTCTTTTTTCCATTTATTTTGCGAAATCCTTCTACATAAGCGTATTAATAAAATTAACACATTCTTGAATGAGTTTGCTCCTATATTTCGTCACAGAACAAACAATTATGCTTTAGCTGTACACCAGGGCAACATAAACACGAGTAGAAGATTTGGTCCGTGATGTGTTTATTTTCACATCCTATATTTGTTTTCACTTGCGTTCTTGATGTCTCTGTTGACCTGGAAGAGTATAGATTCCTTAATGTATTTCGACTTTACAAAGTGCATCGGAATTAACCACTGACACGAAAAGTATTTATTGCAAAAGTATATATAAACAGGTTATCAGATAATATGAATAAAGTGACATTTTCTTAGATATAAATACTTATGAATAAAAAAATATGAAGAAGTGCAAATTTTAACTTATCATCAACCTTGTGGTTAGTAAATACCAGCATATATTTTTTCTTATATTCATTCTTGGTAAAAACTTAATGACTTTTAACTTACGTTGGGCAGAAATAAAGCCAGTCGCATCCTCCGGTTTTTGTGTACCCATAGCGACGAATTGGTCTTATTCCAGGTGCACATTGCTTGTCTGCATCGATCAAATCTCTCCTGTGGCTTACATCTAAAAATTTAAAGTGTTCTCAAGTAATCAGAATAAAGATTTATTCTTTTGTTTGTAACACTATATCAAAACAAAAACCGTAGAGTCGTTTGACCAGTTCCTAAAGGAAGAACGATGGTGTTGTAAATATATTTTGGCATTATTTCAAAATCTGAATTGCTTGTAAAAGCACTCTAACGGTATGCGGAGTCAATTTGATTTAATGAACCTTCAGTCTTTCCAGACATTTTTCTTTACTTCAGCACATTAATGTGGGTACTCATTTTACCAATTACCCAATCAGCAGAATATCAAAAACGTAAGCGATTCCTATGCAAGGCGACCCTAAAAATGCTTAGTGAAAAAGGAATACTTATCAGTATGTTAAGAATACTTTCAATTGATAACAAATATACCAGTAGCGTATATGATTAAGAAATCAAAATACAGAAATCGAATTATGGTGGATATTTGGCACTAGTAAAATAACTCCTCGAAAAAAAATATCCGATAACTTCCAGAGATTTTATAGTTTGATTTCCAAAAATTTGATATAAAATGAATGAATTAAATTTTGAGACTGAAGTATTGATATAAGCGAAAACGGAGGTGTTTCCAGACGATTTTCTTCGAGCAAATTCATCAGGGTGATTCAATTCTTTAAATTGTAAATGTAGGTCGTCTGTTTTAAGTAAGTTATCATATAAAAAATAAATGCAAGAAAGTAATAAAAAAAAAGGAAACAAAAAGAAAAACAAACAAACAACAAAAACAAGATTTAACACGATTAAATAAACCTTTTTTGGCATAACATATGATTCCTCTTTAAAATTAAACGATTTTCAGCACTTAAACTTCAATTAATCGGAACTTTTTAAAATTCGGAACTGGTCTAACGGACGATAAAATTATACAAAAGTATAAAAGTATTGCACTTCCCCCTCTTGACATTTAAAGACAATTCTGGCTATTTACAGCTTGTTATTGTCTTTCTTCGAAGATCTTATCATATTTCCACTGCTTCATCTTCTTTTTTTGCCCATTTTGTGCACACGATTTCACAAAGACTGCTTGATGGTTTTTTTTTTATATAATAGGAACAACTTAGTGTAATCCGAATTATTTGATGCGAAAGAATTTGTGGAAATTCTTCAGTCGTGGACCATAAATGGAATTTAAGATGACATTTTGTCAACGGATAAGCTTAAGAACGGATAAAGATATCAATGGCAAATTTTCGAGGATCAAAGTTCGGATTAAATACCACTTAAGACTGGACGTTCGTCTCAATGCTTCCGGTCGTTGCCAGATTCAAATTTCAATTTAAAACGTCAATGTTTAACCTTTTTTTTGATTTTTTTGAACGTGAAGGGTACAATCAAGTTAAGAAAAATTATAATAGACCAACGTTCAACTTAATTTATTGGATATTGTATATCTGTGGACTGTATTATTAATGAAATAATGCATGTATTATTATTGTATGTTATGTCTTATCTAACATTGTTGAATATACTATTTATCATTGTTGAATATAATATTTATCATTGTGCGTTATGTATGTATTTTTAAAGAGACCCTCAAGGAAGAATAGTGCTTGCAATAATTGAGTCACCCTCTTTAAATAAAATTATTATTATTATTATTATTATTATTATTATTATTATTATTATTATTATTATTATTATTATTATTATTATCATCATTATTATTATTACTAGTTATTATTAAGGTCTTCCGTCTTCAGCGGAAGACCTTCTTGTTATTCTTAGGTTTCTTTTTCACTTTTATTATGTTCCCCAAACGAAGTTGGGGAACATATTGTTTTTACTCTGTTTCTTATTATTATTTTTCTTCTTCCTGGGTACTTATTTGTCCGCGAATGATCTTATAAACTGTTCATCTGATGTAGGTAAAACCTTTTTAGGGTATGTAGACATGTTATGTAGATTTGCGGAATCAAGGTTATTTTGCGCGCACGTGCTTGCAAGAACGCGCACGTGCAACATGTAAAATGACCGATATAATTGATATAGCCGTAACTTTTCTATTTTTTTTTTATGAAATGTGTTGAAACTCAGAATATAAGAATATATTTGTATTATAGACAAGAGGACATGGTCAAATTATCATGAACTCACGCGCATGCACGTGCGCTTCGCTCTGATTGGCTGAAACAAAAATCTCAATATCTTATTTGTTTTTTGACGAAATACTTTGAAATTTAAAACATAGTCATGCATTCAGATATCCTACGATATGATATTAAATAATTTTCATGAAATTACGCGCATGCACGTGCACTGCAATCTGATTGGCTAAAACTTTAAATGGCTATAACTCCCTTGATTTTCAGCCAAACAGGATGGGATTTAGAACATAGATAGTCTTAATGAACCCCTAGAAGAAGGTATGGTCATCATGCACATGCATGCACGTGCGTGCACGTGCAATACGTATAATTACAAATACACTTGATTTAGCATATTTTCGAATACTTTTTGATTAAATGTCTTGATATGAAGTACATTAAAATAAATTAATAGCTATAGTGTAGATACAATGATGTGGTCATTCCAAATATGCATACAAGTGTGTGCACGTGCAATGCAAAAATTTGCTATATACTTGGTATACTTTAGGAAAAACATTGTTTAAGTTTAAGATGCACGGAGTTTAGTTTATTTGATGAAGCTTAGAGGGAATGAGCAACAAAATGAAGTTGGGGAGCGTTTGGGGAACATCTGTAACGGTTCCCGTTACAATTAGCACTAGTTATTATTGTTTTTTTTTCTTACCGATTTTGTGCACGCGATTTCTCGAAAACGGCTCAATGGACTTCTATGAAACTTTCAGGACTTATGTTGCATCACTTGAACCTTATGCGTTTTTTTCCGTTTTGATGACGTCACTTTCGGTCCGGAGTTATCGTCACTTTAATGGTTTTTTGAGGGTCGTTTTGTCCGCACGATTTCTCCTAAACGGCTTTTGATAGACACGTGATACTTTCAGGTATGGTAGACCTATGTCTGTAGATTTGCGGAATGCATTTCGTTTTTATCGGAAGTGCCGCACGACGGCGCTCGCTATGGCCCGAAAAAAGTCCTATCGCGAATTTCAAAATTTTTGACACCTTTTCTATGATATCTTTTTACCTGGAAATATTTTGTTAAAACATATAGAACAAAAGAATTGTAGAATCCAAAGATCTTTCAAATGATATCTCGAAAAAAGGGCTGGCCCCTAAAATTAAGGGCCTAGAGGGGCAAAACCTTTTTCCTTTATATCTCAAAAAGTATTGAGAATTTGTAATACATTAAAGAAGCAAAAATGTTTAAAATGTCAAGCTTAATATACTGGCGTCGTCAAAATACGTCCGGCGTCGTCACTTCCGGTCAAACCGGAAGTAGTCAGAAAATGCATATTTTTGCCTTTCTTGGCAAATTTTTGGGTTGCATCTCTCACTGGGAGCATGAAAATTAATTTTTCGTCCGTCGTCGTCACTTCCGGTTACACCGGAAGTAGCAAAAAATCGCTTAGTTTTGCAATAATTAACATAGATTAGGAGGTTGAACCATTTTTGGACTTCATTACTCATTTTTTAAAAATTAAAGTTACTTCCGGTCAAACAGGACGGAAGACCTACTCGTTGCTTTGCAACGAGCTCGGCTCTAGTTATTATTATTATTATTATTATTATCATTATATGAACATTTAAAAAATCCTGTATTTAAAATGAATTTGTTGTAATTAATACCTAAACATCGACTTTCCATGCATTTTGATCTACGTACAGTTAAAAAGTATTTATTTTTATTCCTCTGCAAACAGTGTAATACCTTTAAGAAGCACAGCATCATCAGGAATTTTCTCTAATTTGTACACAGGGAAGCCATGAAGAGCCAAAAACTTGTTAATATGTGTACTGGTGTTTGGAATAGCACTGTGTGTTTTAATCCACCGCTGTTGAATCGTCTGAGTGTTTTTTGATGTCATCCAGTTTAAACCGTTATTCTTGAGGGAAAAAATCAGATCGATTAATTTAGAATTAGATAATTTAGTTTGAACATTGGCAGAATATAAAATGATATAGTCAAACCCAAACGTGTGCAAATCCTTCCATCATGTGTCCAGCATTTGGATAATGCGACTTATTCAAGTGTGAGACAAAACATTCATGCTTTGCAGGCATACAAAATGCCTGTAAACCCTGTAGAAATGTGATAAAAGAGAATTAAGTACAAAACGGCTTTACATAAAAATAACAATATGAATTACTTTTTCAGAAACATATTTACCTGTTTGAAATCCTGGATTTTGAAAGTCTCTAAAATTTCATTATGAGCCGGAGTATGGAACTCTACGACGTCATCTATCAAATTGGTTCTTATCATTTGGTTGAAAATATTGGCATTCTCCAAAACTGGTATATGAAAAGTCTAGAAAAGGTAGTTTTTGAGGGTTAAGATATATTTTCATTGCTAAAGAAAGTTATATATATATATATATATATATATATATATATATATATATATATATATATATATATATATATATATATATATATATATATATATATATACATATAGTAAAAAATAACAGAACGCCGATTAAAACTCTACCGGTTTCAATTGTATAAATATTTAATGAATAACTGGTGTGTTGATATAGAAACAACATTCACGCAAGAGGAAGAAAATTGATAGAGGGTGGAGTTTGGAGACGTCACCGTATTCCGGTGAAGGGCTTCAAATTTTGACCTTTATTTCAATAGTGTATCTTTCATATCTTGTTTATCCTGAAACATATTTATATATGTGGCCTCCATATTGAATAATTTCACTGGGATGAAAGCCTACATGTATATCTGCAGTTGAAACGTAGACGCCATAGCATACATGGTTTATAATGCTTTCAGAAGGTTACAATACAGTAATTTTTTTTTTGCAAAATTTTTCATTCACAATTCCTCAATATTAGCAACTTATATGTTTACTCTAGCAGGCGAATAAAACTTGGTTTGTACTGCGTAGTGTAGGGCAGCGTCGAGAGAATTCCATCAGTATCGAAAGCAAGCTTGTTGACCTACCGAAATAACCAAGTGGTCTATCGTATTGTTCCTATTCTACGAGTAGACCGGTTCCTTAGGTCCAAAGTTCAATCCCGGCCTCTAGCGGAATTTGGTATCAAAAAAGTGATTTTGCTCTCTCTCTCTCTCTCTCTCTCTCTCTCTCTCCAGAAGAGTGTGTATTGTACAATTGTATACGTACAGAAATGTGGGCCTTTGCTATGCTGAATAGGAAGCAGGCAATTAGTATCTTCATCCTTCTAAAATGCTGATTTCAAAGGTGTTTTTGCTGCAAATTATATTAAGATTGATAGAGACTCTTATCTTCTGATACTTGCCTAAATACCCAAACTCCCATTTAGGTCTCATTTCCTGTAAGCTCCATAAAATAAAGCAATTAAGAATACTGGTCATTCAATGTCTTTGATTGGTTTCCAAGAACATTGGTACATATAGTTGTTATGTCACCTTGAAACAAAGTAATGAAACAAGAATTTCAGCGGTTTTGTTTAAAATCATCATTTTTCAAAAATGTTAAATATGGCTGCCAAACTAATAGCAGTGTAAAGGAACTTGGTTGATATCTTTTGGAGTTTTGGGAGACTTTGAAATTGTTCAAGGAGAATTTTTACTCTGTATGGTATAGTTTTGTTTGTTCGAGTGATTTCTCAAAACGGAGGAGCAATTGATTCAGTAAAAAGCGATTGTTGGTTAAAAATTGTATCCTACAGCATGCAAGTCTAAAACAATGCCTGCGGGTACAAATTAGACGACAGCTATAGTCCAAGGATGATTGAGAGGAAATCAGACTTCAAGAAAGGCGTCCGAAAAGGCCAGTGACAAACCTGTCAAGCAGGCCTTGTCTGATATGTCTACATGTAGGTTGAGGAAAGAGTAGATTATCTTAACAAATACAAAGCAATGTAAATGAAAAATGATGAAACTAAAAGTGAAAGACGGCGTCTGTTTCACAGACGATGTCCGATGTCACGATGAAAAAGTTTATAAAGGAAATCCGTGAATGAGAAAATACAGTACACGTGTTGCATTTGGCTGTTTTTTTTTAGCGTTTTTTTTTTTGGCGGAAAGCAATATCCACTAATTCAAGTACTATGCTAATTGTGTGACACATTCACCTATAAAGAAGAACATAAAGATATGCGCTATATCAGATCCACGCTAACTTGTTCAAAATCCAATTTCTGCAAAATATGGTACACGCAAAATATAATACATTTACAGTAGAATCGGCATGGTATTTTAATACAAGTGCCTGTGAAAAAGCGAAAAATGGTCTGTACTTTTTGAAGACATTGAACAGCGCTTGGGGAATGGGAAACATGTAGTAAAGAATCAAGCATAAAAACTTTTAATGTGAAGAAAACATTTGTTTAATGCCCGAAACATAAACTTAAAGTAAGACGGGGTTTATTAATAACTTGATTTAAAACATAAAAACAATTTGAATAATTCTTATATGATATCTCTGATCTGAGTAAGTCCATGTGTAAAAACAAACTAATAAAATTGTAGGAATTTAAGCATTACAACTTAAAACAGAATAACACCAATTTTAAAAATGAAGATTTTAAATAATTTTTTTTTTCTAAAACTTGAGTTTTTGTTTCAGGTAATTTTTTATATTAACAGATCGAAATAGAGGTTGGCAGATAATAAAAATTTGATTTGGGTTCGTAATTCTTAAAAAAAAAATTAAATATCTAAACACAGAGTAGAAATCCTTAGTTGCCAATTCAGTATCGTGTCTGATTTTTTTTTCTTTTCTCACGTTACTAGCACAGAATGTCATGTTTAAACTAGTGAAACTTTTACTTGAAAGCCGATGGTTTCGAGTTTGAGGTACAAAGAGAAAAAAGAAATCGACTGCAATTGAAATTATATTCTTCTACAATTATTATAATTCAAGATAAAAGATTAACATTAGTGAATGTATGTTGCCCAAACAAAGTCACACACAATTTTTTAAAGTCAAAATTAAAAAAAAACAAGATTTTGAAAATGACAATGATATATTTTGTGTAGATTTTAATTTTGATATGAACCCTAAATAAGATAGTATATTTTACAAAGAAAATAATAAAATTAACCCTTATGCTAGAGATACCTTATTAAATGTAATAGAGGAAATAGATATGGTAGATATCTTCAGAAAATTACATCCAGTAAAAAATAGGTATACATGGTAAAGAAAATAATACCATAATGTTAATTAGGTTAGATAACTTTCTGGTATCCAAGTCCTATGCAAGTTATAGATCAGATCATTTCTCAGTAATTCTTTCTGAATTTCCCGGACTTTCCCGTTTTTACCTGATAATGAGGAGTACACGGCGGGTGTGACCGGCCAGCAGGGGATGCACACTCATCCATGGCACCTGATCCCACCTCTGATGTTTCGAAGGTCCGTGTTAACTCTGCTCTTCTTTTGTATCGTTTAATGGAATACTGTTCGTTATCTCCATATCATTATTTCACTAAAACAAGATTTCAAAAAAGTTACAAGTCTATGGAAATTTATAATTCACTATTGCATGTTGAATAATATGTTAAAAAAAGTGAAAAAAAAACAAAGAAAATAAAACCCAATTCTTAACATAATATGATACTTATTTATGATAAAGTTTATGTAGCACATATCCCTGAAAATGAAATTAGCTTATAGATAAATGATCAATTAATTTTAGGAATTATATTAATGGAGATAAGAGGACAAATTATATCATATTCTTATTTGAAGAATAGTTATAATTTCAGGCAATTACAGTTATTAAGGGTATTTACCACAAACAAAAAATGAATGCAAGGTTGATCTATATGTTTTGACTGATTTTGATTTGAAATGACATAATTGATAAATCCCTGAATTATAAAGCAATCGTAGGTTTTCCTTGGTGCTTAGAAATGAGATTTTGTTCTGCATTCTATATAATTCCATACAAAATTTGCACTATTTTTTAACCTTATGACAAAATCTTATAGAATTCTTCCACTACACGTGGTTAACATTATTCGGTTTACCAATTTAACTGTAAATCTATGGGAAATAATGCTGATTTCTGGAAATAAAGTTTGTTTGCGTTATTTATCATTAAATGATACGTAAAATGTTAAAGAACATGTAGGTACAAACAAAAATGAAGGATCGAGTTTAGAGGAGGCTAAGGAAGAATAAGAAAAATTAGGATAAGAAAATTTAAAGGAAGCAATGGGAAGATCAAACGCAAAATGGATAAATGAAGGAAAAAACCCTACTCAATATTTCTGTTATCTAGACAAAAGTACCTTTACAAACAAAATTGTACAGAGAATAGAGAAGGAAGATAGTGAATGTCTTTGCATCAGGGGTATATTTTAAAGAAATATGTAAATATTATTGAACATAATACAAAAATATACTTTTAAAACCCTAAAGTAAACAAAAGGGAGTTATAAAGAGATGAAGTCTTTGACGACGTCAATAAGCTACCTTTTGATGCATATAAACAATGAGAGGGGGATAAATTTAAGAGAAGCAACAGAAACGCTGAAAAGAATGAATAATGACATCAATCCCGGTAGCGATAAATTTACTACTGAAATTTAAATATATGATATATGATAATAATATTATTCAGATTCAATGAAAAAAATAAAGGTATTAAATCTGGAAATGAAATGTGTGAATGGAGGATTTAAATAAACAGTGTTGACCATGTTTATGCAAGTATGAATATAACATGGATTGAAAAAAATGTTAAAAGATAAAGCTAAATGGCAGTAAGTTATTGGATAAGATATTGATATTTCGCAATTGATTAAATTCGAACCCAGTTATTCTTTGCAGAGAGTTAACAGGTATAAAAATCAGTTTTGGATTGATGTTTTTAAAATGTTTTAAATGTTTTTTTTTGTTGTTTGATAATCCATTATTCATATACTTAAGTGACAATGGACTTTCCCGTTTTGCCAGTCATGACAAAATGCACACGACGAGGGTGTGACTGTTCGGCAGGGTTGTTCACTCATCCATGGCATCTCATCGCAAAATGTTTCGGAGGTCCATGTTTGCTATACTACTATTTTGTATTGTTTCATGACTTTTCATCTTAAATACTGTTTGTTATCTCCATATGCTTCTCTTGGTTATACACATACTTTGAATATATTTTTATTTTCTGAGTTTCAAAACATTTAAGGATCAAATGAATAAAATACAGAACTTTGTTTGGGTACTTATTTAAAATACTCGCATTTCACGGGCCTGCACGTGATAGCTTCTGCACAATGATTAATTCATTTTTTCTAAGATATTGATTTATCTCTATATTCCGAAGAGCAATGCTTTTCAAGTCTAACAATCATAGGTATACCGAGTATTTCAATCAGATATTTATGGGCTTCCATCTATCATGTGAAAATCTCGAAAATGTCAGATAGGCAGAATTCAATTATAAATGAGTGTGAGTAAGTGGAATCCAAATATACAAAATTTTTGTGCTAACTGTAGAGATATTGAAAATATAGTACATCTCTTATTTAACTGTAATAACTCAAACTTTATATGGTACAAAATGAGCACAATTCAAAGTTTTAAAATAAGTTGGAAGCATATTGTAATAAGTTTTTATGAAAACACAGATTTTACCAACGGCATGAATACATTGATATGTTTCATTGCCTCAATTTTTTTTAAAGGTAAGATGAAGTGTAGACTGACAGAAACAACTTGTAACAAAGATTCCTTGTGTAATTTTGTTAAATCATTTTTTAATACATATCAGTATATTGCAGAACTTTCATTTGACAATGTACAGATTCACAAATTGCTGAAAAAAGTTTGTATTCATTTGTAAATGTAAATGTATGTTACCAGCAGGTCCACAAAACCAGTTGTGCAGTCTATGTGTTAGCATGGGGGCATTATAGACTCTTAAAAGTGTAGAAGGTGGTCTATAATGCTAACATAGAATAATATTCCATTATACATGTCAAAGATTCTCCTATCTATCATTATAATCATCATTAGTATAAATATTATTTTCATTATTGTCTAAAATTGATTATAGCTTTTACTTTTTTCTTTATTCTATGTAAAAAAAATAATCATCAAATGTCAATATGTAATGTAGTTTATCTGTGTGTTATTTATATCATTGTTTGTTATCAATAAAAGAGAGGAAAAAAATATATCAATCAATTTTGCTCTGTACGTCCGTGCAATTGCATCTTTGTACACGAAGAACATTGCATCATATCCACAAAACAAAAGTAGATAAACATATTCAGTGT